TTTGTTATCCAGAAATATTTTGGTCATTGCTAGTGAAATAATTTTAACTAATAGATTTTAAAATTCAGGTAGAGAATAGTAGAATTTTTAAGGACCGACAACATAATTTATTCTGTATTTCTAGCTGCATATAATTTTAATTGAAGTTTCTATATCAGTTCAGAGTTCCTTCAGAGTAACAGAACCAATAGGATATATTTGAAGATATTAATTTGTAGGAATTGGCATATGTGATTTTAGAGGTGGGATGGGTAAGTCTTCCTTAGAGTAGCTTCTTCTCTGTTCTTGGGCCTTTACTACTGATTGAATCAGGCTCACCCAGATTATCTAGGATAATCTTTCTTACTTAAAGTAAACCTATTAGAGATTTTAATCACATATAAAATACCTTCATGGTAACACCTAAATTTGAATAACTGGAGGCTATATGCTAGCTATCTTGATTCAGAAAACTGACCATCACAGTGACCTAGTGACAATGCTGTTTCTTAAGCACGGAATTATTTTTGTCAGTTGCACCGTATAAATATTTATTTAAATATTATATTTAAAAGGTAATGAGCTAGTCTCAATTTTTATCGTGAAAAACAAAAGAATGATGCAGTAACTGTCCTATATAATAAAAGTGTAGTATGCAAATTGTCCCCTCAACCAGAAGTTCATCCAGGAGTTTGACCAGGAGGCAGGGCCGGCTGGGGGAAGGGAGAACGGCCCTGGCCAGCCAGTGGTGGTGGCTACAGGAGGTCCGGCCAGCAGCAGCAGCAGGTGGCTGGGGGAAGGGAGGGAGTACCCAGCCAGCAGCTGCTAGGGACCCTAGTGCACTGGGCCTCTAGTATTCTAATAACCTTTCTGATTACCTGAACACATTTACAAATTACCTTTTTGTTAAAAAATTATTTAATTTTTCTTTTAAGTCCTCTACTTATTCAACTCCTTTATTATTTTTCTTGCTTAATATTGTGCTCTCTTCAATTTCTTATCATTGATTTCAAACATAAAATTTAGGCTGTATGTACAACATAGTGATACTTGGCATTCATCAGATATTTGTTAGAAGAAAGATTATTTCACAGTTCTTATATGTTCTCTTTAAAGTTCATCTTAGTGTTACATTTGTTTTTTATAAATATTGCTGCTACATTGCTGACTTATATTTGGCACATGATTCCTAAATATTTTTGTCATATTTTCTGTGAAACTATATTGTTTTTATAACAAACAGAAGTTATTTTCAAACAGCAATCCAGAGTTTCAGGATGAAAACTCTCTAATGATTTCTTGGAAAAACTGGCTTGTATTGGAAACAGTGTTTTGCTATACACTTCATTACCTCTGGACTTGTAAGTCTATTTCTTTCACCAGGTAGGGAAAGTTTTCTGTCATTATTTCTCCAAATAGCTTTTCAATAACTTGCTCTCTCTCTTCTTCTGGCACCCCCATAATTCAGATGTTGGTACGCTTGAAGTTGTCCCAGAGACTCCTTATACTATCTTCATATTTTTGGATTCTTTTTTCTTTTTTCTTTTCCAGTTGGGTATTTTTTGCTTCTTCATATTTCAAATCATTGACTTGATTCTTGCGATCCTCTAGTCTGCTGTTGGATCTCTGTATAATATTCTTTTTTTTTTATTAAATTTTTATTGTTCAGATTACATTTGTGCCTCTCCCCCCCCCCCATAACTCCCCTCCTTCCAGTTCCCGCCCCACCCTCCGCCCTCACTCCCCACCCACTGTCCTCATCCATAGGTGCACGATTTTTGTCCAGTCTCTTCCCGAATCTCACATTCCCCTTTCCCCCCCAAGGAAAGTCAGGCCATTCCCTTTCTATGTCCCTGAATCATTATAATCACCAGTTCATTCTGTACATCAGAATATATATTCACTTGATTCTTAGATTCACTTGTTGATAGATGCGTGTTTGTTGTTCACAATTTGTATCTTTAC